AGGAGGAGGAGGAGGAGGAGGAGGAGGAGGAGGAGGAGGAGGAAGAAGAAGAATAATGACTGTGGGGTCCCTGGTGCTCTCTGAGCTTGGCTATTTTCTTGCAGACATTTCATAACCCAACTAGGTAACATCCTCAGTGTTAGAAGGGAGGAGGAGGAGCAGGAGCAGGAGCAGGAGGAAGAAGAGGACGACAACTGTGGGGTCCTTGGTGCTCTCTGAGCTTGGTTGTTTTCTTGCAGACGTTTCATAACCCAACAAATGCTGATTCACTGATGATGTTCCCTAGTTGGGTAATGAAACGTCTGCAAGAAAACCACCCAGCTCAGACCGCACCCAGGACTCCCACAGTCCTCCTCCTCCTCCTCCTCTCCATGAACCCCACTCCCTTTCAGCATTGATGACGTTCCCTAGTTGGGTAATGCCAACTTCTGCAAGAACACCGCCGATATTCTAATCTGGAAACCCTTCGACCAAACTTGCTCTCCCAACAAAAGACTGCCTGCGCCCCCAAAGGTGCAAGGTTCTCCAGGGCTAACGTAGGAAGGTTGTGTGAACGGGACACGGTGGGAAAAGCACCCCATTCTGGGTCTCCCTGCGGCCCCTGCGCCCCACCCACCCACCGCCTCGCTCACCAAACCAGGTGATGTGCTTGTTCTCCCAGGCGTTGGTCTTCTTGGCCAACCCTTCCAGGGCGCCCCGGCACGGCGTCCTCCAGAAAGCATTGACGTGGCCCCCCACGTGGAAGTCCGCTCGGCGGAGAAGCCGCATCCCACCAAAACTCTCCTTTGCTGCGGAGGAAACACGAGGCCCCGGGGGGCTGCTGGAGGGCGGGAACCAGGAGGAACCCCCTCCCAAATGGCCCCCCTCCCAATGCCGCTGCTCTACCAGGAGCCCGGGACTGGCCGGGGGGGGGGGATCCCCAGGGACAGGAAAGGGAGCGAAGCTTTCACCAAAAGGCAACTGGACTTTCTTGATTTTTTTTCCCTTTGAAGACATTTCGCTTCTCATCCAAGAAGCTTCTTTGGTTCCGACTGATTGGTGGGAAACAAGAAGATTTACACTCTTTCCTCTTTGTGTTCTCCTCAACCCAGATGACTGCAAAGAATATAGATCCTTCCCTTCCCCACCCTGCCAACAAAAGTGCGTAGAGTCAAGGCCATGGTTTTCCCAGTGGCAATGTATGGCTGTGAAAGTTGGACCATAAGAAAGGCTGAGCGCCAAAGAATGGAGGCCTTTGAACTCTGGGGCTGGAGAAGAGTCCTGCGAGTCCCCTGGACTGCAAGGCGATCCAACCGGTCAGTCCTAGAGGAGATCAACCCCGGCTGCTCTTGAGAAGGCCAGATCCTGAAGCTGAAACTCAAGTCCTTTGGCCCCCTAATGAGAAGGAAGGACTCCCTGGAGAAGAGCCTGATGCTGGGAAAGATGGAGGGCAAGAGAAGAAGGGGACAATGACAGAGAAGGAGGTGGCTGGATGGAGTCCCTGAAGCAGGAGGCCTGAGCTTCAATGGACTCCAGAAGATGGTAGAGGACAGGAAGGCCTGGAGGAACGTTGTCCGTGGGGTCGCAATGGGTCGGACACCACTTCGCAACTAACAACAACAACAACTTCCCCACCAGTCGGTTAGAACTGAACAAGCTGCTCGGACGAGGAGCGAAACGTTTTCAAGGAGACGTAAACAAGAAAAGGTCATTTTGCCTTTTAGAAAAAGCACCTTTGGGACGATCTTGACCTGGGGAGGACGGGGGCATCTCCAGAGACCCCAGGGAAACAGACCCAAATCCCCCCCTCCTCCCCCCAGAACAGAGACCCATCTCAGCCCATCGGTCTGCCCCAGAGTCAGAATATCATAATATTCATTATTATTATTAATGGATAATAAACCCCCCTTGCTTGTTCTCACCTTCCGGCAGGTACATGTAGACCAGGAGATTGCGGTCCCTGTCAGACACTGCAAAAAGAAAAGTCCCTTTTTTTCAGTGCCCTTGCAACTTTCAGCGGTCACTAAAGGAACGGTTATAAGTTGAGGACTTGTAACTGGTATCTTCCTGAGTCCAGGAAGGAGCACAGAGTCTTTATAGAGGGGCACCAGCCTGGATCCCTGCTGTAAAGCCCCCCCCCTTCTTCAACCACTGCCCCCCAGTAGCCCTTCCCCAGCATTGGGGAGGGGGGCAGACACCAGCCTGCTGGAGAGAAGCCGTGCCTGGATTTAGGCTGCCCCATCCTTTCCCAAGACCCCCTCTGGGACCCACCGAGGAATCCCAGCTGGGCGTTGTCCACCATGAAGTCCACGCTGTAGACCTCCAGGGGCTTGGCATCCTGCGGGAGGGAGAGAGAGAAAGAGGAGAGACAGACAGAGAGAGACAGAGAAAAAAGAGACAGAGAGAGAGAGAGAGAGAAAGAGACACACACAGAGAGAGAAAGAGACAGAGAGAGAGAGAGACAGAGGAGAGAAAGACAGAGAGACAGAGAGAGACAGAGAAAAAAGAGACAGACAGAGAGAGAGAAAGAGCGAGACAGAGACACACAGAGAAAGAGACAGAGGAGAGAGAGAAAGACAGAGAGACAGAGGAGAGACAGAGACAGTGAGAGAGAAAGAGAGACAGAGAAAGAGAGGAAGAGAGAGAGGGAGAGACAGAGGAGAGACAGAGAGACAGGAAAGAGAGAAAGACAAGAGAGAGAGAGAGAGAGAGAGAGGAGAGAGAGGAGAGAGAGGAGAGAAAGAAAAACAGAGAGAGAAAGAGGAGAGACAGAGAGTGAGAGAGATAGAAAGAGAGACAGAGAAAGAGAGGAAGAGAGAGAGGGAGAGACAGAGGACAGAGAGAGAGAGAGAGAGAGAAAGAGGAGAGACAGAGAGAGAGAAAGAGAGAGAGAGACACACAGAGAGAGAGGGAGAGACACAGAGAGAGAGAGAGACAGAGGAGAGGAGAGAGAGAAAGAAAGACAGAGAGAGAGAAAGAGGAGAGACAGAGACAGTGAGAGAGATAGAGATAGAGACAGAGAAAGCGAGAGAGAGAGAGACAGAAAGAGGAGAGAGAGAAAGGAGAGAGAGGTGGGGAGTTCAGCAGAGGCCCGGGATGTGGCCTGGGGGGGTGGAGTGGGGACAGCCCTCCCTGCCCTGCTCAGGGTCCCTACCCGGCTGACGAGAGAGAGGGTCTTGCTCTCCTCCTGGTAGCGCAGCAGTGAGATGCTCTTCATGACGTCGGCAGCCAGGATGAAGTTCTTCACACTGATCATCTGGTGGATGTAGAGCTGGGTGTCAATGAAGGCCATGCCGGTCAGGTCGTTGTCCTTCAAGCTCCAGAGGAAAATCTGCAGGCACGGGGGGGGGGACACAAGTGGGAGGGTGGGGAAGGTCAACCTGGCTGCCAGGCATGCCCCAGTCCGACCTCTTAAGAAAGAAAGACCCTCGACTCCCTTTGGGTGAAGTGATAGGTCCGTTTACTAAAGGATTGTCAAGATATTGATCTAACAGCTAACCAGCTTATGAAATGTTAGGATGTAATGATGAGACTGACCCAGCAGGGTCTGTGTCTCTTTAGGAGCCTTGGTATAAAGGGAAGGCTCTGCTGATGTGTTCTCTCTCTTCCGTTTCCTGTTGTAACTGTGGCTTGTTGGATCCTGTTGTATGAGCACGTGTATGTGTATTGTTCCTGGTGTATGATATTGTAGCTAGTGTAAGATAAACCACCATTTAATATAGACCACTGTTTATTCTATTTACTCCGGGGTTATCCCGCTCAAGGGGAGCCTCTGTACAGGCTCCCCTTGACAATTCCTGTGTCACCCCAGTTCCCAAAGTCCGGGGGGGTCCTCGGTGCTCTTGGACCTGGTCGTTTTCTTGCAGACATTTCATTGCCCAAACGAGGTAAAATCCTCAAAGCTAGAAGGTACAAATTCCACCCCTTCCAGCACTGATGATGTGACCTAGTTGGGTCATGAAACGTCTGCAAGGAAACCATAAAACTTAGAAGCACCAAGGACCCAATAGTCCTCCTCCTCCTCCTCTTCTCCCCTTCCCCCTTCTCCTCCTCCCTTCCTCCTCCTTCTCCTTCCTTCTAGCACTGATGATGTTACCTAGTTGGGTCATGAAACGTCTGCAAGAAAACCACCCAGCTCAGAGAGCACCAAGGACCCCACAATCCTCCTCCTCCTCCCTTCTAGCACTGATGATGTTACCTAGTTGGGTCATGAAACGTCTGCAAGAAAACCACCCAGCTCAGAGAACACCAGGGACCCCACAATCCTCCTCCTCCCTTCTAGCACTGATGATGTTACCTAGTTGGGTCATGAAACGTCTGCAAGAAAACCACCCAGCTCAGAGAACACCAGGGACCCCACAGTCCTCCTTTCCCTCCTCCTCCTCTCCCAAACCCCCCTCCCTTCTAACACTGATGATGTTACCTAGTCAGGTCATGAAACATCTACAAGAGAACCCCTCAACTCAGAGAGCCCCCGGGGAGCCCCCGTTTCAGCCCTGAGCCACAATTCTTCTCCTTTCTGGGTACCGCGGTCCCAGCTTGGAGCGAGAGCTCCCACAGCTTCTGGCCCACTCTGGGTCCCTGACCGACTCACCTTCTGGCCAATGGCCGACACCAGGTAACCGTTGCAGTGGCAGAGGGCGGTGACCGGCCCCTTCTGCTCCTTCTCGTACAGGACCTTGAACTTGTTCTTGGTGAGGGGCTGGCCCGGCTCGGGAACCACCTCGATGATGTCCATGATCAGGATCTGCGCAAAGGGGGCCAGTGAGGAGGAGAAAGAGAGCCATCCCACTCTCTACTGGACTGCAGGTAGTCCTCGATTTATGAGCCGTCACTTAAGTGTCCGTTGATAGCTACAACGGACTCCCCGTAAAATGACTCACAGCCCAGCCAGAGATTCTCAACCTTTCCTTCACCACAGGCTCCCTTTAAATACCTCTTGTGGCCACAGACCTCCGAGACTTAAGATTTAAATCCTAATATTTCTTCAAGCCTTTGTGGACCCCCTGTGATGACGTTGCACCCCCCCCCAAGGGACCACGGACCACAGGTTGAGAACCACTGAGCTAGGCCACAAAGATGAGGGAGTCAAGCTATTCTCCAAAGTGCCTGAAAGCAGAAGAAGCAACGGATGGGGACCAATCAAGGAGAGAAGAAACCTGGAACTAAGGAGAAACTTCCCGGCAGTTTTGGACAATTAACCAGTGGAACAACTTGCCACCAGAAGTTGGGGGTGTTCCATCACCGGAGGCCTTTAACAAGAGATTGTCTCCTGCCTGGGCAGGGGGCTGGACTAGAAGACCTCCAAGGTCTCTTCCAGCTCTATTCGGATTGAAAGTCAGAAAATAACCTGCAAGGCCACGAAGACGATGACTGCCACAAAAATTATGTGTGTGTGTGTGTGTGTCCATATGACTGCTTGTAGGCATGCAAGGAAACCTGATCCTGATCAGAGATTTTTTCAACCTGGACCACTTTAAGATGGGTGGACTTCAACCTGGATTTTCTCAAGCTGGACCACTTTAAGATGGGTGGACTTCAACCTGGATTTTCTCAAGCTGGACCACTTTAAGATGGGTGGACTTCAACCTGGATTTTCTCAAGCTGGACCACTTTAAGATGGGTGGACTTCAACCTGGATTTTCTCAACCTGGACTTTAAGATGGGTGGACTTCAACTCCCAGAATTCCCCAGCCAGAAGTCCCCCATTTTAAAGCGGCCCTGGTTGAGAAACCCTGGCCTAGTGGATCCCACCTTGAGCAGGGGAAGGACTAGATGATCCTCCGTGCTCAGAGATACCTTCTCCAACTCTACATCTCCCTGATTCTTTAGCCCAACCTCTGAACTGTGTGGGACACACAAAGGAGACTGGGATCAAAGGACAGAGTCGGGGGGACAGGGGCAGGGAAAAGCTTGACAACCCGGCCAGGGTGTGTGTGTGTGTCTCACCCGGCCCCTGCAGGTGACCTCTTCGCCCTGCATCAGGCAGGTCCCAACGGCGATGTAGCCCTTCAGACCGGAGACCGTCTCCTCGCTCTTCAGCGACACCGTCTTCATGCAAGTCACGTGTTCCCACTCCTCCAGGTCGATCCTGCGGAGCAGAGGGGGTAGAAGGGAGGGGGAGGGAAGGCCGCTGCGTACAGATAGTCCTCGACATACGAGCCCAGGTGAGCCCAAATTTCTGTCGCTAAGCGAGACAGTTAAGTGGATTTTGCCCCATTTTCTCGCCCCAGCGGTTCAGTGAATGCCGCGTTAGTAACCCGGTTGTTAAGTGAGTCTGGCTTCCCCCGTTGACTTTGCCCGTCAAACGGTTGCAAGAGGGGGATCGCGTGACCCCCTCCGGGACGCTACAACCGTCATAAATATGAGTCGGTTGCCAAGCGTCCGAATCACGTGATCACGAGGACACTATAATGGTCGTACGGTGTGAAAAATGGTCCTAAGTCACTTTTTTCAGTGCTGTCGTAACTCTGAACAGTCGCTAAATGGATAGTTCTAAGTTGAGAACTACATGCACTGACAACAACGGCTTGTGGCTTAGTGTGATGTGTGTTAACAGGTCAGTGATTGGTTGTAAGAAGGATTTCCTGTACCAAACAATTCCACTGGAGTTTATAGGCGATTGTAAGACACACAAATAATTGCAGGGACTGATTTATATAGAAAGCAAGTTTTGTGCACCACACACTCTGTGTCCAATGTTGTGCGTCTTCCCACCTCCCCTGTGCAGAAGAAGGAACAGGCCCGGAAGGGTGGAAAGTGGGATACTTAGCAACAGAACTGCCAGTTGTTAAGTGAGGAACCTGGTCGTTAAATGAATCCAGTTTCCTCCATTGACTTTGTCAGGTCGCAAAAGGGGATTACCCGACCACCCTCCCTTGGACATGGCGACCGTCATAAATATGAGTTGGTTGCCAAGCGTCCGAAGTTTGATCACGTGACTACGGGGATGCCGCAATAGTCGTAATTGTGAAAATAAGTCCTGTGTCACTTTTTTTTCAGTGCTGTCGTAACTCTGAACGGTCACTAAATGAATAGTTGTAAGGCGAGGACCACCTGTATATGCTTCTCCAAAACTGGGGGGGGGGGGGTAAGCTGCCTTTCTCGCTGTGGGTCTCCCCTTTTGGTGGGGGGGGCCTCTCGGCCGTTCTCACACAATGAACCTCTGAGCTCTCTCCGGGCTTCTGGAGAAGATCTCCACGATCCACAAAGGAAACGTCTCCCTCCCTGTCTCCCTCCCCGTGAAAGCCTCCCCGGGCTAAATCCAAGGGTTGCCCTCCCCTCTTCTCACCTGGTGTTAGGGATGGTCTCCCAGCTGACCGGAGAGATCAGCTGAATAGAAAAGGCTTCCTGCAGCGGGTGCATGTAGCGGTCATCTGCGGAGNGGGGGGTTGGTGGAAGGAGGAGGAGGAGGAGGAGGAGGAGGAGGAGGAGGACAACGACTGTGGGGTCTTTGGTACTCTCTGAGCTTGGCTATTTTCTTGCAGACGTTTCAGTATCCAACTAGGTCACATCATCAGTGTTAGAAGGGAGTGGATTTTGGGAAAAGCAGGAGGAGGAGGAGGAGAGGAGGAGGAGGAGAAGTACAACTGTGGGACCCTTGGTGCTTCTGAGCCTGGCTGTTTTCTTGCAGATGTTTCATTACCCAACTAAGTAAATCATCAGTGCTAGGAGGGGGGGTTTATGGAAGGGAGGAGGAGGAGGAGGAGGAGGACCAGGAGGAGGAGAAGGAGGAGGAGGAGGAGGACGACTGTGGGGTCCTTGGTGCTCTCTGAGCTGGGTTGTTTTCTAGAAGACGTTTCATGACCCAACTAGGGAACCTCATGAGATGCTGGGAAAAATCTCTGCCGCATCGTCATTTAAACAGATATAGGTGGGTTGCAGCTGTAGCCCAGCTCAATCAATTCAGGTTCCAGAGAGCTGTGTGAACCCACTAACACAATCAGCACCAGAACAAAAGAAGGGGAACTTTCACCCCTGGCTTGGTCAGCTGTGTGGCACAAACCCAGAAACCCAAATCAGCAGCGGGGCTGATCCCGTACACTGCCAGCTTAGTCCTCCAAGCAAAAAGATGTAGTTGAGAACACCATTCTCCCAAATGTGCTGCCAAGCCCTGGCAGTTAACAGAACCTGCCTATTGATGGAGGTGAGAACAATTGATCACTGGAACTGCTTGCCTCCAGAAGCTGTGGGTGCTCCACCACTGGAGATTTTTAAGAAGAGACTGGACAGCCACTTGTCTGAAATGGTAGAGGGTCTCCTGCCTGAGCAGGGGGTTGGACTAGAAGACCTCCACGGTCCCTTCCAACTCTGTTCTTCTGTTATTAATATTTAGCCCAGAAAGACACTGCACTGTACTGAAGTCCAGCCATTCCTGCCTCATTTAAGGACACGTCCCCTGCTCCTCTCCCTGGACCCTCACCAACCAGCTCAGGGACCCCCGTCCATGGACAGTCCAGCAAACCTCCCTCCTTGCTCTTTTACCCCAAAGACCCTCCCCTGGGCAGGACCTGGGGAGAACTGCTCCCGGGGGCATTCTCAGCTCGGGCAAAACTTCCACAAGGAAGCCCTCTGGCTGGAGGATGTGGCACGTTGGCTCCCGGCACACCCACCTCTCTCGATGGTCTCGAACTCCTTCTCCTCTCCCGTCATGTGGGGGATGCGGGTGCAAGTGTTGTTGACGCTGGTGGCCACGGCGTACACCTAGGCAGGAGGGGGGAGTTTGTTCAAGGCGCAGGGCAGGGACGGGAAGACGTGGAATGAAAAGAAGACGAGATCCTCTCGGCCTCTGAAACCGTGAAGCCTGCCGTCGCGCAGGCCGACGATCCAGAAATCAACCAAACTGAACACTCTCACACACTGTCACACACAATACCCAACTTCTTTGGATATCGAAGAAACATTTAAGGGTGTAATCTGAACACGTTAAAACCAATATATGGAATTTCGAGAGAGAATCCAAGCGATCAAAGAAACTAGACTGCCGTGGGTTACCGGGGCAACCCAATTTCCAAGCCAATCTAGCATTGCCCAGAGCACCCAGTCCTACCTTGGACTCCACGTGGTATGCTACGTAGTGGGCGGTGCAACGCAGTGGGATCTTCCGGACAGGCCACGGCGCATCGTAGGAGAGATAGGCGGGCAAGACGCTGATGCGCAGCTCCCCCTGCAGGACAGGACACAGTCAGACTTTCCTCTACCACAGCGGTCTCCAAACATGGCCACTTTTAGGCTTGTGGACTTCAACTCCCAGAATTCCCCAGCCAGCCGTGCTCTACAAGGTTTTGGATCAGCTCCTAAGGAACTCAGCAGGCAGGTGTTCCAACCAGAGGGAATCTTCCAAGTTCTAACCCTGGATGAGTGAGGCTTACCTGCCGGTTGAAGTAGAGGAAGCCCTTGGGGCAGTTGACGTTGTGGAAGGGGGCGAAGGACTCGATGGGGCCATCTATGGTCATGGGGTGCAAGCGCAGGGCTCCCCGAGAGGTCACCAGCAGCCAATGTGGCGAGGGCCCACAAATGAACACCTGAGAAGAAACACAGATGCTTCTTGCGCAAGGAATTCCGAGCGTTGTCCTGGTTCTCCAGGCTGGCCTTCTCGACTCCCTCCTGTCCAGTACAAAAAATCCCACCACCCCCAACTTTGGGGTCCTATTCAGCAGGTGCCCCAAAGCGCTCTTCCCTGACCATCTCCACCGGGAGACCCCCAACACTCTGGGGGTCTCGGTTGTCCCTCAGAGAAACCCAGAAGCCCCTCCTGGTCTGTCCCTCTGTCCACCAGGAATTCTTCACCTACTCCTGAATAGCCGTAGATGTCTTCAAAGTAGCGGAAGCGAGCGACTCGTCCTCGGGGGGCTCCCGATTCCTCGCCCCCCGCGCTCTCGGACTTCTTTTTGGACGGTCGGGATTTCTTTTCCCGGAAGTTGATGTTGTGGGGAACCTGGTTGGAGGAGACCAAGAGAGCAGGTGAGAAGAAAAGAAAAGAAAAGAAAAGAAAAGAAAAGAAAGAAGGAAGGAAGGAAGGAAGGAAGGAAGGAAAGAAATGAAGGAAGGAAGGAAGGAAGGAAGGGAAGAAAGAAAAAAAATGAAGAAAAGGGAAGAAAGAAAGAAAGAAAGAAAGAAAGAAAGAAAGAAAGAAAGAAGAAATGAAGGAAGGAAAGAAAGAAGGAAAGAAGAATTGAAGGGAAGGAAAGATAGAAAGAAAGAAGAAATGAAGGAAGGAAGGAAAGAAAGAAAGAAAAAATGAAGGAAGGAAGGAAGGAAGGAAGAAAGAAATGAAGGAAGAAAGGGAAGAAAGAAAAAAAATGAAGAAAAGAAGGGAAGAAAGAAAGAAGAAATGAAGGAAGGAAAGAAAGAAAGAAAGAAAGAAAGAAAGAAAGAAAGAAAGAAAGAAAGGAAAGAAGGGAAAAAAGAAAGAAAAAGAAAGAAATGAAGGAAGGGGAAGGAAGAAAGAAAGAAAGAAAGAAAGAAAGAAAGAAAGAAAGGAAAGAAGGGAAAAAAGAAAAAGAAAGAAATGAAGGAAGGGGAAGGAAGAAAGAAAGGAAGGAAGGAAGGAAGGAAGGAAAGAAGGGAAAAAAGAAAGAAAAAGAAAGAAATGAAGGAAGGAAGGAAGAAGAAAGAAAGAAAGAAAGAAAGAAAGAAAGAAAGAAAGAAAGAAAGAAAGAAGGGTGGCCTATAGGGGGAACGGTGGCCCCTCTGCTCTACCCCTTCCCTGGTAAGGGAATACTGAGACCCAGAGGAAGGGGGGGGCTGCACTCCCCCCCCCCGGCTGATAAAGGCTACCTTTTTGAATCGGACTTTGAGGTTGGCCTGGCCCAGCTGAGAGTCGTGGTTAAAGGCCTCGTAGATGAGCAGCTCTTGATCCACGTGCACCTGGCAAGAGAATTGGGAAGGCCGCCCAAAGTCACTCCATCCCATAATGGCTCACCAGGTGCAGCTCTGACCGAACGGCCCTCGCTCGGACCCTCCCTCAGCTTCATTCCCAAGAGAACCGAGTTACAGCCAAGCCCAGTTGCGTCCAGTGGTGAAGGCTAGAAACCAGGAGGCAGTGAGTTCTAGTTCCGTCATAAGCACAAAAGCTGTCTGGGTGACTTTGGGCCAATCACCAGATGACAGTGAGTTCTAGTCCCACTTTAGGCATGAAAGCCGACCCCCTCGGCGCAGGTGACCCTCCAGACTCACCAAGAGGTACGGCCGGCTCTGTCGATTCCCCAGGGCCACCAGCAGGACCTCCTTGACCAGCGGCATCTCGGTCTGACGGACGACTTCCTCCTTCTTGGTCTCCCCCTGGCTGGCGGGCTGCCCGAAGGAGCTGTCCACCAGCACCCGCTGCCCCATGGGGAAATTCTTCACCAGAAACACCAGGCGCCAATCGGGCAACTGGTAGATCTGTGGGAGAGACGAGACGACGGTG